ATGATTTTCAATTGGTGGGTTACTTGGAGTTAAAACAGATAACATGCGCAGTGTGCAATGTTACATCTTCGGTCTCTTTTATCTAAGGGTAAAACGTTACTGACATCTAATGCAACCAATATTACTTTTTTGTATTGTTAGTTGCACATACATTATTTTATTGACAAATAAAACATTAAATGAATTATTTATTTGCAACGACTTGTAGTGTGTTTATATTGCTTATTACAAATATTTAGCTTATAAAAAAGTGAGTTATTTTGTCATACGTTATGTTTTAATTATTTTGTGCTGATTTAGAATGGAAAATAAGGACAAAATAGTAGTTTATGTTACAAGGACGAAAAGTTTTTCAGACTAGGAGAAGCTTGCCAGGTTAGACGTAGTCAATTTCTGTCGTGTCAATGTGCTCATGTCAAATTAATTTAATTACCTAGTTTATTAAAAGTTGGTGTAAAAAAGAATTACAAAAATAAATAGTGACGAAGAATTCATTACGAGCACGCCCCCAATTAGAAACGCGGATAATTTGGCGTGTTTGAATATGATTCCAAAAAAATCAAAAATGGAATATGAAAGAACTATGGAGGGTAGAAAAAAGGAGGACAATCTTATATGGATCTTTATATTAAAAAGTGGCCACCAAAATGTATACAATTAAGATGGCGCTCGTGTAGCCAGGGGACAAAATCCAATGCTATATAGTTATATAGATTGCTCATTCATAAGAATTATTTATTGTTTATATTATTATTTTTCAATAAAATTTGACTATTGTCGTGTATTGTCAAAATTTATCTACGATCACAGAACACTTACTTTTCTACGATCAGTCACTTTTCACGGTGTAGTTTTTAGTTTTTTATGGTTGAGCAATATTTATTACTATATACATCATTGGTGTCATTGTGTGATATGAATTATCGACTGTCGACATCCCCTGGGCACAAAAGCGCCATCTTAATTGTATACATTTTGAGGGACACTTTTTGTATACAGACATTGTTCTCCTTTCCTCTACCCTCCATAGAAAGAACCTACCTCAGATTTGAGAATTCTAATCGGTATGCAATACTTTATACACTTAACTTTATAGGCTATGGCCGATAAAGTACTTTATGAATTATATACCAAAGTTCAACTATGTTTTGTGGCCGAAAAACGTAATTTTTTGATACATTCGAATAAAAACAACATAATTACTAAGTTGTTAGTTGAATTAAATTCTAGTTTTACAAGTCAATCTGCTCTACTTTGATATAACCTTTCAATAATAACACTGGCCAACAAAATTACACTTTTTGACTGATGAATGACTTATGTCACATGATGTTTACTAATTTCAAGTCGCTGATTCTAAATATACCCCCACTTTTCTTCTGACAGCTCTTGTTTACGAGTTATAACTTTCACTAAAAATTCTCTGTATTATAGTGTTTATTTGCAGTTTATTTAATAATAATTATTGAATTATTATACGTATTTAATTTTATTTGGAAATACCATTAATTTATAATCCTCTTTAACGACCCCTCTGTAGTTTCTTAGAACATACTAATAAAGGTAAAAGTACCTCTCTTTAATGACCGGTAAAACCCAATTTCATAATTCCTAAGGAATGATCTTTTGTTATTTTAGGGGAAGGTTTAGTAAGACAATAGTGAAATTATCTTTCTTGTTTGAATTATTGTTTTATTTTGTAATTTGATATGATATCGTCAGGAAGAGTGTGTGAATGACTCAAACAATCTTTGTTTAATTTGCAAAGAGTATGTATTTAAAGAATACCGTTTAAATGTGACAACGTTCGTAAATAAGGCTTACAAAAATTACTTTGGTCACCCTCTGGAAATGAAAAATAAGCTTCGGATTTCGCAAAAAGTATGCAAAACATGCATTGAGTTCCTACGTTTATAGACAAATAAGAAAAGCTAAAGCTTCAGGTACAAAACTGCTATGATTTGTAATGAACCCATGAACCACCATGACGATTCTTATTTTTGTTTGGTGAACATAACTGGTATTAATCGAAAAAATCGAGTTAAATGGGAATATCCTTCCATACAATCGGCAAATAGACGTGTCCTGAGTCCCAAGTCTACACCTGAACCACAATCTGGTACTTTATAGGAAAAGCCAGAAGATTTTAAGACGAAAAACGACAGTAGTGATAGTGACTTTCAATGCGACCTGGGAACGCCAAAGCCATTCAATCAAGATGATTTAAACGACTTAATTGGAGAGCTGACCACTTCAGAAATTTTGGCTTCAAGGCTAAAAGAAAGAAAATTGGTAACCAAAGAATTTCTTATTACCGCACAAGAGAACAGAATTTCCTCAAAAATTTTGCTGAAGAAGATAATTACGTATTTTGTAAAGATGTACCTGGATTGATGGCTGCAATGGGATTTCAAAATTATGTTTCTAGTGAGTGGCGTTTATTCATAGACAAAACGGAGTCTAAAATGTGTTTTCTTACACAATGGGAATACATTACGGTCGTTGCCTATTGCACATTCTACAAAAGTAAAAGAAGAATATACAACTATTGCTCTGGTTTTGGACAAAATTAAATATGTGGAAAATAACTGGATCATATGTGTTGATTTCAAAATGGTTAACTTTCTATTAGGCCAGCAAGTACACAAAGTATCCTTGTTTTCTTTGCTTGTGGGATAGTAGAGCTAAAATTCAACATTGATTTAAAAAGGATTGGCCTACTCTGATAACAAAACGTGATAAAGCCACCTTTAGTGTCAAGAGATCGTATAATTTTGCCTTTGCATATAAAATTAGGGCTTATAAAACAGTTTGTCAAAGGTTTTAACAAAACTGGAAATTGTTTTCTATTTCTATAAAAAATATCCCGAAACTAAGTGTAAAAAAGATAAAAGCGGACATTTTCGATGAGCCACAGATCAGATCATTAATAAAGGACGCAAAATTTACGGACACTATGACAGAAATTGAGAAAAACGCATGGAATGAGTTTGTTTGGCTTGTTCAAATTTTTTTTTTGGAAATAAACAAAGTTCTAACTATTCTCAACACGCTAAACAACTAATGAGTCACTTTTAAACCCTTGGATATAACATGAGCATCATGTTGCACTTTCTACACAACCGCCTAGATTATTTTCCCGCTAATCTTGGGGATCTAAGAGAAGAACATGGCGAGCGATTCCACCAGGACGATCGTACGATGGAGAAACGGTATCAAGGCTACTGGAACGCACACATGATGGCTGAATATTGTTGGAGCATTCAGAACAGTTCTGTGGGTTCAATGGGTTCAACCTCTGTAAGAAAGTCTTATAAAAGAAATTAGAAATGCTGTTGTGCAGTGTAATCTATATATTGATTAAATTTTTCTTTTCTTTTCGTAACTGGGCACACAATGAATTTTTCAACATTATGCAACTAGTTGCGTAAAGTACATACAAAAAATGTAGCGTAAACCTTTAGTCATAAAAAAAATTTGATATTATTTGATTATATTATGCAACAGAAAGTCTTAAAAGAAATTATGAAATAAAAGATTTAGGAGTACGCTATGATTATGTACAGCACTTTGAAGAAGTTTGTAGAAGGAGCAATAGTCCATTAGGCTTTGTAATGAGGAATGCACAATGTTTTTCAAATTTAAATGCAATCAAAATTTTATTTTTTACAATTGTGCAACCAATTTTGGAGTATGCCACTATTATTTGTTAATTACAGCCAGCCGTATACATAATTATAATAGAAAAAACATCAATATTGATTATAACCTCAGTAAGTGAAGTTATATCTAATATGTTTGAGCATAAATCTTTTCTTACGGCAGCTAATACTCCACCAGCTCTCGAAGTACCGGTTATATCATATTTACGGTCAGCTCTATAAACATCAAATTGACTAAGATCAAACAATTCCTCATCCATAATAGTACTATTGTACCATGTTTCGGTGAGAAAATAACAAGAGAATTGAGTAATGGTTGAAACGTTGTCCATGAGCTTGGTCGTTTTTGTTCTAAGTCCGCGAACGTTTTTAAAAAGAAATGTAAGAAATATGTGCATCAGGAGGAGTAATAAAGTTTCTCTTTTGAGTAACTGTAGAGGTCAGTATTTGCTATTGGAAAGGTATAATATTGTTTTTAAACTTTGTAAGCCCTTTTGTATAATAATGACAATCTTTATCCCATGCTGCATAATCAACTGGTATATTTAAGTTATGATTAGTTTTAATGTTAAAGCAATTGCAACATTGGATATTTTTAGAACGACAGTCCTTTGATGAATGGTTTAGAGAGCACTTTGGACAGGCAGGCTCATTTTTATTGCATTGAGTTGCTAAGTGATGTAGTCCACAGCAATTAAAACATCTACGAGGTTCAATAGCACAGTATACCAGACAGTCAAAATCAAATCCAACAGCCAGTTTGCCTAATTTCATAGCGCTTTGATACGTATTAGAATCAACATGCAAGATAGCTTGAAATAATTTAGCATTATTCGATGGTATAGTGCACACATGTGTTAAGTAATATTTTATAAATATTGCACATTTCAAGTTTATATGTTTGAAGCTATAGCTCTCTCTTGTTTTACATGAAATGTATCTATCAAACCCTTTCAACACTTCTTCGTTGTTTCTGATTTCATAATAAAGCAAAATAAATTATTATTACCTACACATATAAGTATTTACACGCATTTAATACAATTAATCCCAAAAATGCAATAATATTTTCTCTTCTAAGCCATCGATATTATGAGTGAAGATTAATTTTTATGCAGGCAAGAATTCTATAAACCGTCTTTGTTTTTGTATTAGCCATAAGTCACAGTTTCTGTGCAGAGAAAAACAAGTAACTTTAGTTAGATATTGTAAATTATAAGATATAAGAATAAATTTGCGTTTAGAAACTATAAAATATACATTCTTGTGTTTAGTGACTAAAGCTTTGGGACTAAGTTCTATCTTTTCAGCTTCTCAGATACAGACAATTCTACTTACATCCATTATTTTTGCATTACATGCTCCATCTGAAGCCTGTTTTAAATCAGTTTGTGTCTTTCTTGCGCATTCCAGTTCACATCGGTTGGTATAGGTTTTACCGTCAGATCCACAAACCTTTCGTACAAGTTTTGTACACCTACAGATACCAAGAACACTAGATTTCGTGAAAAGCATAACCTTGAAAAAATTGTAATTTTATTTTTAAACTTGTATTATTTACACACTTGTATCCTAATTTAATTCTCAAAATTAAAAAGATATTGCATGGTTAAAAAAAGGTAATCTTTCCTCCCTTCTAACAACTATGCTGCTTACTTTTAGTTGCGGGGTACATTTTCCAACTTCGACAAAGAACAAATATGGATTTTCTTTTCTTGCACATTCTAGCACACACAAGTTGTCATAAGTTTTAGCATCAGATCCACAAACATTCATAAACATATTTGGGCATGCACAACGTTCTTGAGTATGATTTCTTGTTTTTAGTAAATTCTAAAAATTGAATATAATAAATACTCGTACTAAGACACATCAGATTATTATTAATATTTTTGTTAAAACGTGTAATGTGTCAATTAATGTCTTATTTATAAAATCTTCTGGATTATTTACATTAAAACAGATTAAATATGAGCATTAAAGTTTTCAACTAAGGATTATTGTTTTTTATGTAAATAATTGTTAGTTAATATTGGAAGAGAAAATAACATTGCACCTATATTTCTTTTATTTTAATTGTGCTGCTTCCTTTTGGCTGTTTCGTTTCATATTTTGCAAAATATTTAGGATTTTTGAGAGGGTAGGTTTGCTAATAGTATTAGTATTGGCTTCCTCATTTTCCTGAAATTTAATTTCTCTCACTTTTGCACGAGAAGATCTGGATATGAGTTTTACCACTTCATATTCCTGGGCAGCAATCAGTTTCTCCATCAGCGTCTTGTAGCCGAAGGGCTTGCTAAATTTCCATATCTTGAAGTCCATGAATGAATGCTTATACGCCAATTTGTTCTTGGAAATCTTTGGGCTCCTGTGGATAGGCCAGAGGAAACAATATTTTTATATATAGATCTCGAATTCCTGTAGATTCTCATTATGTTTTTGACTACGAACCTTTAGCTGGCTTTGAAATACCCGTTTAAATGTTGCTGGCCATACCTTTTCTTCCAGGCTTAGGCGAAAGACGAATAACTTGGTTCCCCTTGAGCGAGTAACTGTTAAACAGTTGCTACCTATACTCGCAGCGACACTATCAAAGAAGCTGCAATCTCTTTTTCAGCCCAGCCATTGGCTTGATTCTGTTATAGATGAGGAAAAAGTAGTGTTTTCAGTTTCTCTGTTGCTTACTGAAGCTAGACTACGAATTCTTTATTCTAACTCAAACAGTTCAGTTCTAATTTGTCTTTCAAACTCCACTCTAGCCGTTTCTTGTTGTTTTAAATAAGTTTTTACATTCTCTTGTTGTTGTGCTGACCTACCGTTTACCTGAAGGTTTCTTGAATTTGTAGCAAGCCATTCATAATTTTCACCTCACCTTTTCTACGCCTTTCTTTCTTCTCTTTGTCCTCGTCCTTCCAGAGCATTTCCCTTTTATCTTTTTCTTCTTCTTTCCTGGGCCTTTCCTTTTCCTCTTCTTCTTTCTTCATGCGCCTTTCTTTTTCATTTTCTTTTTCCTTCCTGCACCTTTCTTCTCCTCTTTTCGCCTTTCCTTTTCTTCCTCCTCTTTCTTCCTGCGCTTTTCCATCTTTTCTTCCATCTTTAAAAACCATGCTGAGGGACCTGAAGTATTCATAACTGTTTCGTTAGTAGATCTAGAATTTACCATAAATTCCTATTTTGAATCCCACCACTGTCACCAATGTTACGCTGGTGTTTGGCAACTCAATTTATTTCAACTCAACTTTTATAATTCAACTATATAACTGAGAACATAAATGTATAACGTGTATTATAAAACTGAAACTCTGACTTCAGGATCATCGACTTGTATAGCTCGCTTTAACCTTCTATAACCTTCTTGAACTATCCAGATTTTTCTGGATACAGAATGATATTTCTGGATTATTCTATCTTCTTCTTTTACTTGTAGTTTTTCTATGAAGACCGCAGGCACACTGTAGGGTGATGGGTGTCATTGCACTACAGGGTACAGTACTTCACAAGACATTCATTTTAATTTACAAAAAAAATCATAAATTTTAATAAAACTACAAATTACAATTATATGTCTTCCTAACTTATGTACTTCAGAACTTTTGCCATACTATAACTTTGAACTACAACCTCAACTGATTTTTAATTTTATAGCAAACAATAATGCTATCAAATCTCAAAATATAGGCATGGTTCAATACTAGAACATTATCAAAAAATGTCTACCTTGCACTAGGTTCTTTATTGATTACTCAATCTCAATATATTCTTCAGACTACTCTGGGATTAGTAAATTGCTCAAATATAGAATATAGATTATGTTTTTTTTTAAAGAAATTGAACGTTGATCGTTTTTTCAAAGGTTTATATTTTACTTGCAAAAATTAATATATTAAAATTAATCTGGCATGATTCCTGGTCACTCTGGAATTCTGGGTAATTCTAAAGCTAGGAAGATCACTAAATAATTCAGTGAATATTAAATTATTACAATATATTTTCATTTATTAGAAACACTGTTAATTCAAGATGGCTTGAACAATGGAATAGTCTCAAGACTAGGGAAACTTCCTCTTATCGTAGTTCCAGAAATTGATTTTTAGAACACTTTCTGTAAGGATAGAACCTAATTAACTATAATAATTTAGGACACTGTTAATACACTTATCACTTATTTGGCTTAGAAGTAAAAGATGATTTAGAAGGCTCTCATTTAAATTTTTTTTATTTATATTGTTATATTAATATTAATCAGATTGTGCTTTCCAGTGATTTTCGCTGTTAACCAGACCAATTTGAAGAGGAGAATAAACACTATATGAACCTATCGGAAAATATTAATAGTAACAAGAAAATATTGTTTTGAAAATACCACTTACATTAATATTTGACGTGCAAGGACCCTTTGACATAAATCTCAAATCTGGATTTTCTTTTTGGGCGCAATCAAGAATGCAAAGGTTGTCATATGTTTGACCATCAGATGCACAAATAGTTTGTGTTATATTTGGACACGGACAACTATCTTCTTTAATATTATTTCTATTGTTTGTATTTTTGCTTCCATCCAACCTATTTGGATTTAGTATTCCTGTATTAGGTGTATACTTAAAAATAAATTAAGAAATACTTATAAATATACAATATTACCTATTATTATTTTTATTTATTTATTTTTTTTTAATTTAGTGTCATCGGCATCGACTACTAAGGTCATTAGCCTCGTGTTCTGTACAGGCTTTGTTACTGTTTCCTATCGCCACTTTAGGAATAGCACTGTTAATTAGAACCCAACAGTGAATGGTCAAATGGGGAATCCTACAAAGGCATTAATTTTAAATAATTAAATTAAATAAAAAAAATCTCGGCCAACAGTGGGATTCGAACCTGGGACCCTTGGATCAACAGGCAGAGACTCTACCACTGAGCCACCCACTGCTTATATTATTTTTATTAACAAGATTTCTGTATAATATTTTTGAATTATCTATTGAAAAAATATATTTTGTGGTAATATATGAATTTGTTGAAAATTTATTATAAACACTTTCGTTAATATCTATAGAAATGTATTAATAATTTTATAGGAAATTTAATTGACATTCAATGCTTTTTAATTCCCACAAGTAAAATTATTGGTTATCATTGCGAAATATTTGTTAACTTCATAATATTCCAAAACTTGTTTACTTACATTCATATTTGGATTACATGATGATTCATTAGGCAAATAATGTAATGCTGGATTCTGCTGTCTCGCACACTGCAGCCAACAGAGGTTTTGATAAGTTTTTCCATCAGATCCACAAACCTTTTTTATAACTTTTGGACAATGACAATCATCGATTGTATTTGAGGAAGATTTGTGCTTTGGTACTTTTGAATTCACTTTGGTGTCACAAGGTCCACGAGAAACCAATTTTAATTGCGGTTTTTTATTTTGTTCACATCCCAGACTACATGGGTTACTATAAGTTTGACCATCAGATCCACAAACAGGGTCTTTAATTTTTTCACACCAACAATCATTTCTTTCGATATTTTTTTTGTAAACCACACCCTTAAAAATTAACGATAAAAATGTTGGTTAAGAATTTCATTATGTTACTGAAATTGCATACGTCGCCATTTATTGTTAAAAAACTGACATATTTCCATACTTCTCAATGATTTTCCACTTACAGATAGATATATTTATTCACTATTTTATACACATAACCAGCATTTCAGAAAATTTAAAAATATGAATTACAAGTAAGAATACAAAATTTTAAAACAGTTTGACCTCTTTCAGACGAGGATACTGTATACGAGATACGCGTATCCCAAATTCAGACTGAACATACATTCAACCTATTATTGTCTAGGAAATAGCGCTTGCGGAAAAAAGCCATGTTAACCATCTGACTCGTGGTATTTGAGCTCTATGGTAAATTTGAAGATTCTTTCATCTATACTACATGCGTAGCGGGCCGGCCGTTTCGGAGGTAGGGGAGGAGGGGAAACTCGAAAAAAAAATTCGTGTTAACCGCCTGGGGGTCGATTCTTGACTTTTATTCCCATTGGAAAATAAAATTTTCCCATAAGAATTCAGTTTTCTTATTCTCGACATAAACGGTGGAATATTTTCTAATGAGAAGTATGGGAAAATATTCCCCTGTTTACGACCATTGGAAATTGTGTTTTCCAATGGGAATTGTACTAGAGTTTGCGCATTAAAGTCGAAAATTTGACGAAAGACTAGACCTAACCAAAGATTATTCGATATCTTGGATTTTTGGTGAAATTGTAGTTAAAACATTTTTTTGGCGTATTTACAGATTGATATTTTATTTATGTAGGTATTTTATTTTTACTTCTCTTTTACTAAGAAACTGTATGAACCGATTTTCTTAAATCAGTTAGAAATTGTGAGAGCTGCTAAGGGACTGGCAAATAACACAAATTAAGAAATTTGTAGTAAATTTAATAAGACCTTTTCGAAAATTTTATTATTTCCGTTAACGAAAGAATTTCTTAGTTGCTCTTCCATACAAAAGCTATTTTTTTTTCAACATGTAAAAAGAAAAATTAAGAATAACTCGACAAATTTTAATTATACATAATCGAATATTTTCACTTGTTCCTCGGTCATGATAGGGATTGCTCGGCACACCTGCTCCAGCGCGGAGGCTCGGCAGGTAATCGGTTACTCAAAAACCATAACAAATACAAATAATGCCAACAGTAAATTTGAAAATATCTTTAATGTTATTGTTTTTTTCGAAATATTCGTAGACTTAATATCAGACATTCGTAAAACTACTATTTCCATGGGAATGTCTATTCCGACAAGTTCGAGAATTGCATAACCTTTTACCATGGGAATATAAGTAGTTGAATCTTTTCCCATGGGAAAATTTTCCAATGAGCTCGAGAATCGAGCCACTATAGTTAATGGTAATCATTAGTATATGTATCTAAATCAGTGGTCGCCAACCTGTCGATCGCGAGCTACCGGTAGCTCGCGGAGGCAATTCTGGTAGCTCTCACAACGATTTTAATTTAAAAAATATAAACTGCAAAAATCAGAGAAGCTTCTGAAAATTCCACAAAAAATCTAATTGTCATAATATTAAACATAAACAGCGGCAACGTTGCGGTGAGCGATCTGCCGCTGACGCGATCAAGCTAGAATCGGCTAGAACCGACCAGGCAGACCAGCGCGTTAGTGTTCGAAAACGATCAGGATTGCTTTGAACGTGATAAATACGCACGGCGCGGCGACATTGCGCTTAGTTTAAAACTGAACGCGTAACCAACGTCCAGCGGTTGGGTTAGTAGAGAACAACAAAAAATAATATTATGGCAAGCAGTTGTAAGAAGGTAAAGACATACCATTTTCATTCGGAATGGGAAGAACAATACTTTTTTACAGAAGTTAAAGATAAAAATGTGTGTTTGTTATGTAATACTTCGGTCTCCGTTGCTAAAAAAGGAAATATTGAGAGACATCATAAAACTGTACATTCTAATTTTTAAAAATCATTCCCACTGCCGCCAGAAAGAAGAAACTGAAACAGTTAAAAAAGCAGTTAATTGGACAACAATCAATATTTTTAAGAACAGTCGACAAAAATAAGGCTGTAACTGAAGCATCGTGTACCGTGTGTCTCAGATAATTGCACAAAAAAAGAAACCTTATTAAGACGGGGAAATGATAAAACAGGCATTTTTAGAAGCTGCTGATTCGTTATTTGCCAACTTTAGAAATAAAGACGAGATAGTTTCAGCTATAAAATCTATGCAACTTTCTGCTAATACAGTGATAAGACGTGTAGAAGTAATGAGCAATGATATTTCTTTACAGTTACAAAAGAAGATCTTTTGAAGTTTATTCCACTGAAAGGACACACTACTGGACAGGAGTTGTTTTCTCATTTAAAAAATATTATTTTTTCCGAGAAAATTCCAATATCGAAAATGGTAGGCTTGACAACCGATGGCGCTCCAGCTATGGTGGGTTGTGATAAGGGTCTGGTGGCGTTATGTCGTAAAGATGAAACTTTTCCGCAATTTCTCTGTTACCACTCCATTATCCATCAGCAAGCATTATGTGAAAATTTCCTGAAACTAAACAACGTTATGAAACTGGTGGTAAAAATTATGAACAAGATTAGAGCTCAAGCGTTACAAAGAAGATTATTCAAAACCTTGGCCGATGAAGTTGACTGTCAATACGGGGACCTACTCCTTCACTCTGAAGTCCGATGGTTAAGTAGAAGCATTTTCCTATTCTTTCAGAAAAAATATCTCAAAATCCATTAGAGCCCTATGACAGCAAGGTTTTAAGGATTTCAACGAAATGGCTTTAGTAGCGCAGTTTGTTGTTTCGCCCTTTATGGAAATTGATATCCAACAGTTTGCAACTTGTGTTATGCAGAACTTTGGCGAAGACATCGCTGCAACAGAAATGGAAGTAATTGAGTTTCAAAATGATTTAGCCTTAAAATCGTTAGTCTCAAGTACCTAATGTAAGTGAAAGCATTATTCAGTTCAACCTATTTGTGTGAATCTTCTTTTCCAATATGAAGTTTATTAAGAACAAATATCGCAATTGACTTACATATGAACATTTGGATAATTGTATTCGAATGGCTGTATCAAATTATACTGCAAACATTAAAAAAATTGTCGATGAGTCTGAGTGTCAGCCTTCTCATTGAACGTGCTTTTTTATTTTTCAATGTTTGATAGTGCGTTACTTTTTTGTTGTTATTATTAATTATTTTTAAATCTTACGTTATTAGTTTGTTATTAGTACCTATGTATTATGTATTATCAGTTAAATAGTAAAATAAAAACATATAATGATAAATTAACTGTGTATTATTTCATTTATGTTGCGTTACGTGGCTTCCGTGTGGGTAGCTCGCTGTTTATTCCAAAATTAACAAAGTAGCTCAACACATTGAGAGGGTGGTGACCACTGATCTAAATAATAGACGAACCATCGTCGTCAGACAAAAGACCCCGCACACCGCTTATGCAAAAGTGGCGACCTGTTAAATGTAATAAATTTTTGATATGTTGCAGTTCTCGACCTCCTAGGCAATAGTGTTTATGGGACCATTCAAATCCAATGACTCGTTTTTTGAGATAAACTTAAGAAATACCACTTATTTGATAACTATTATTTCAGAAGAAAGCAAATCGATTATAATTTTTTGTGCAAAATCTTATTGTAACATGTTTTGGCATTCTACAAATATAAAAAGGGGTCAAAAATTATTTGCCTCTACAGGGTGGGCCACAAATAAGTAAAGACATGTTTTTGATAAATACTTTTATTGTTCTAAAAGGTGAAAATATTTACTAAAAAATTAATTATTGTCTTGTTTATTATGTCTGATGTTAATACAAAAGATATTAGGTGCCGTTTATACAGGGTAGGGTGATTTGTAAATATCGACATAGGCCAATATTTTTTTTTATAAGTATTAATGTGAAACTCAGTATTTTTACGGGACTTTTGTATATTTATGATATATACAATTATTCAATTCATTGACTATAGGGTGATTTAATAAATATATTGATAGGTAATTCATCGAATCTGTCAAAAAAACAATTTTTTAAGCATCCTATATTTTTTGATTGGTCCTGTAAAAGTATACATATTTTTTTACTGGCGTATTATCCAGCCTGTAGAAAATATTTTCCAAAATTATAGCTTTTTTCTATGATTGGTTTTTGATATACAGGGCGTTAAACTTAAAAAATAACCATTTATTTGATAACGCTTATTTCAGGAGAAAGCTAATCGATTATAATATTTTATGGCAAATATTATTGTAACATTCTTTGGAAATATAAAAAAAGTCATGAATTATTTTCTGTTACAGAGAGAGCCACAAATAAGTAAGGACGTATTTTTGATAATTAGTTTTGTTGTTCTAGAAGGTGAAAATATTTACTAAAAAATAAATTATTGCTATATTTATTATGTGTAATGATAATTGGTACAAAAATATTAGGTGCCATTTATACAGTGATTCGTAAATATTGATATAGGCCAATATATTTTTTATAAGTAATAATGAGAAAAGCAGTATTTTTACGGGACTTTTGTGTATTTACCAATATACCATATGTATAATTATCCAATTTATTGACTACAGGGTGATTTGATAATTATATTGATAGTTATTCTCACAATACACAAAAAGTTTTATTCGATTTTCCCCCACTCTTCTAGCTCCGAAACGGCCGCCTCGCCACGCATAAAGCATAGAAAAAAATCTTCAAATTTACTATAGAGCTCAAATACCACGAGCTATTTCCTAGAGCATTACACAGTATCGCGATACGGAATTTCTGTATCCCGGCACCTTCAGCCGTGGAGGCTGAATGCATATGCCGCATACAGAATTACTATTAATTAGGATATATGGACGTTTTCGGACATGGATTCTTTTGCAACGAAGATTATATCATTGGCGTAGGATATTTTTCAAGGGTATCTTAAGTGCATCTAGATTAATCGATTAAACTGTATAAGAAAACATTATTTAAAAAATT